TCAATTTGTGCCCGGGCTAGAAGCAACGAAAACACTTAAGTGTAGAAGGTTTAGCATAACGGTTTTCTTTACCTTGGGGCTTTGGTTTGGTCTGAGCCTTGTGCTCCGAACTGGAACTAGCTGCAGTTGTGGATGAATTGGCCATAGGTTGGGAGACTCTCACTGATTTTGAAGAAGCCTTGTTGGGTCCAGTTGCCGGTTCTTGCCAATGCCTGCGGTTGAAGGGCACCTTTACTTGCCTACTTTGCTGCATCTCCACTTTCAACGCAAAATTGACTGTTTGAGATAAGGACCACACCAAATTTAATTCCAACTTATCCTGGATGTTATCCTTGAGACCGCCAATGTATCGTGCCACTAATTGGTTTGACCGATTCATTTAAGTTGTTTCTGGCACTTAGTCGATTAAATTCTTCGGTATATTCACTAACAGATCGTGCCCCTTGCACATAATGTTGATACCTCATGTAAAGTATATGCTCAAAATCAGTAGGCAAAAACTGTGCTCTTAACAATTGCTTCATTTGAGTCCAATTGCGAACTAGACCCTTGCCTTCCCTTTGCCTTATTTGTAAGGTCTGAGCCCACCAAGTACTAGCACCCCCTCGCAATCAACACGATACATATTTCACCTGTTTGTCCTGTTCAATTTCTATATAATCAAAGAAATTCTCCACAGCTTTCTCCCAATCTAGATAATCTTCTATGTGCAAATGCCCGTAAAAAAAGGAATATCAAGTTTAACCTTAAATTCTCCTTGGTGATGCTGATACTGTATTGGTCGGCGGTGTCTTTGATGTTCTGGAGGGTATGAGCGTCCGCCATCTTCATCTACCTACTCCAACAATTATGCACTCGGATACATTATTGCCTCCTCTGAGTCCAAAGACTCGTGTAAAACTGCAGCATTATGGTGGAATGGACAGCCATATACTACCCCTCTTCGCTGCACTATGCGATTAACTGGAGCTTCATTCCGCTGTGAATGTTAGTGTCGTTGCCTTGCCCTGATGAGATTGAACTCGCGGCACATTTCAACTGACAGCCTTTGTACCTCGGCGGCCAACTCATCCAGCTGACGGATGATGTTGGATTGGTTTGCACTTTGCCCAAAGCGTGTCTAAGCTCCGAACTTCCTCGGACGGATCTGTCATCCTCCCCCTTCCAGTCGCTGGCTTTGATACCAAATGATGGAACACAACAGGATTATACACGAGACTCGGAAGAATCGTTAGCAAGGAACAATAGAAAAACTACAGAACTGTTGTAGTTCTAGTGTTTGCAATATTAATGAACAACAAAAACTGCTAATACATTCTATTTCTTCCTATATGTATTTCTTCCTTTTTCTGTAATGCTTTAACTGACTATAGCAACAATAAAAAAAATGACAGTACGGTAAACAAAAATGGTAAATAAGAAAGTGGTGAAGGCATGAGTTTGTTAAGGAAGATAAAATGTCCTGCATAGGCTCCAGTATTAATGTGATCTGCATCACATATGATCGCACTACTTATCATGTGGGGTGGGTGTGACCATCAAGCAGTACATCACCATGGTTGTCTTGATAATCATTTAACACATTGACCATCTATAATGCAATCTTCTAACGACCTCTCATGAATACGTTCAAGATAGTCATCTCGATGAATCATATGGCAGTCAAATTCCTACTAGATGATCAGGAGATCACGGTGTGAGCTGACATCACACAATCATAGACGTGCTATTTGAAGGCCCTCCCTAAAAGAAGTGATGTAGCTTGAAATAGAGCGAGGACTAGGGTTAGAGACTATTGAGGCAGTGGAGGAAGTTCTAGTCATGGAGGACGACCCAAAAAACCCTGCGAATAAGTCTTTTGGACCCTTACATCGAGGCAAACTCGTCCAAACTCTCAGGGATGATTTCAATGTCTTTGCATGGATGACAGTGGAGTGCCTGACATAGATATGGAGGCTGCCTTCCATAAATTGAATGTGAAACGAGAACCCGAAAGCCAAGCCTAAAAAACAAGAGTTGGAAAGTTGCTTTATGTTGACTTTATTCGAGAGGTATAATATCTTGATTGAATCTCTAATATCGTTATGATGTAGAAGGAAATCTGCAAATAGAGGATGTGTGTCGACTTCACCAACTTTAAGTTGGCATGCCCAAAGAACGGGTATCCATTTCCCAGGATTAACTTGTTGGTGGATTCGATTGTTGGATTCCTAGTGATAAGCCGCTATTTCAGGCTGTTATTAAATCAAGACACATCTCCACAGCTGTGAGAAAACCACTTTCTTCAAATGTGAATGTCTCTACAACTAGGTCAGGTTTTTTGGATTGAAGAATGCAAGGGCAACCTATTAAACGATTATGAATCAGGTCTTCAAGGAGCAGAAGGGTATAAATTTTAAGGTTTATGTGGATGATTTGATGGTGAAGAGAAAGTCACTTGAATAACATAATGCTAGACCTAAATAAGATATTCACCATGCTCAAAAGATGCAATATGTGACTTAATCCTTTAAAGTGCACGTTGGTGCAGGTTCAGGCAACTTTCTTGGGTTTCTTTTAACACTAGAGGGCATCAAAATAAATTTTGACAAAGTCAAGGTGATTGTGGAGTTGATTGATTTTCATATTACTTATGCACCAAGAATGATGATCATGGCCCAAACATTATCTGACATCCTTGTACACTTCATAAACCCCAGTGATGAACAAGAGGTAGTAAATACACTAAACATAGCTTGGACACTATGGGGCTGTTTGGCAACATAATTTGAGCAAGATTTATGCAAAATCCTGCCAAACATGATTTAGGGAACCGTTAAATTTCAAATCGAATTAAATCTTCTGTTTCACCCTTTTTGCCATAAATTCCGGATTTACTAAAACCGAGAGTTCGGTGGATTTATAGGATTTGGTCGAAAAAGTGCTTGAACAGTAGAAAGATGGTATAATATAATTAATAAATAATTAAATACTTAAATTAATTGATAAGTAATTTAAATTTAATTATAATTAATAATCATAAATATAATAAAATTAAAATTAATAAATTATTTCATAATTAAATTATTTTCAAATTATATGATTTTTGTAATTATAATTTATTTATAGTAATTAGAAGTAGATTTAACATATATCTTGTATTTAAAATGCAAATTAGAATTAAAAGACAAATTAATTTAATTTTTTAATATACTAATTGCTTTAAATCTTGGATTACATCACAAAACGGTTCCACATGGTTTAAAAGGATTCAATGCTTATCTTGCCTAACAGTTTTCAAGATTTAGTAAATATGGATTTATAGAATTTATTAAATCCTACTAAAATTAAATCCTACTTGTTGCCAAACAGCCCCTATATGTTTATTGGGCTTCAAGCAAACACAGAATAGGAGTAGGTATAATTCTTAAATACCTTAAACAAATAATTATCATGCAGGTGGCTAGCATCGAAATTCCGGTCACCAATAATCAAACTAAGTACAAATGCTTTGAACATTGTATTACAATTTTTGATAGGGATAGGTGCTACAAAGCTAGTCATTTATCCCTATTCACAATTAATTATAAGTCTAAATGATAAGTTCGAGGTATGAGATGAATTGTTGCCGAAATATCTCTTCAAGGTGAAGGCAGAGATCAATAAATTCATGTACTTTAGAATAACTCAGATTCCTTTTGAGCATAATCAACCTAAACAGGTGACTCGCTTGAAGATTGCCAAGCCCAAAGAAGGGAAAAGTCATGAATTTAGGGATCGATCGCCCAGTGAGTTGGATAAATCTATGCATGGAGTACCTCAAGACATAAAAATTGAGCTCCAATGTTGTTGACCAAAAGCAATTCAAAATAAAAGCTGCACAATACTTGATTATTGTAGGAGGGTTATTCAAGAGGTCTATGACCTCTATCAACTTGCAATATATAAGAGAAGACGAGAATGTAACGGTATATAGAGAGGTGCACTCAGGAAAGTGTAGAAATCACTCAGGAGAAAGGATACTTTCACATTGAATTTTACGACGGGGGTCCTTCTATCTAACTATTCAGAAGGATGCAAAAGATTTCTCAAAGAGATGCTTGTAGTGTCATAAATTTGTTCCCATGCAAATTACAAGCCTCTCATAAGCATCAACCCATTACTTAGCCATTTGTCATATTGGACATGGATTTCGTCGGCCCATTCTCACCATCGAGTGGGTAGAGAAAAATTATCGCAATGATGGTGGATTACTTCACCTAATGGATAGAAGCAAAGGCACTCGCCAAGACTACTGCTGTTGATGTCATTAAAAGTTTCCTATGGGTAGACATCATCTATAGGTATGATCTGCCACTCATATATAATGATTGATAATGTACTTAATTGTTGATATGAAGATCAAGTCCTTTTATCAATCACAAGGCATTCTCCTTAAGCTTTTCTCAGTTCACCATCCGTAGATGAATGGACAAGTGGAGACAACGAACAAGAAAATGTTGAATCTCCTGAGGAAGAAGGTAGAAGGAGCTAAAGGCTAGTTGGTTGAAGAACTCCCTTCAGCCTTATGGCATTGAGGTGCCTCGTTATTGACAAGTCAGACACCATTCTTACTCGCACGATGCTAAGGCCCTTCTCCTATTTGAACTCAAACTGCACAATCGGGGAGTAGTTGTAGCTGCCATCTTTGATGAAGAAGAACTTGGAGAGTGAGATCAAAGGAACCAAGAAGCTTGGCATACCCTATACAAGGGAGGAAGGTTAACAATACCCTATACAAGGGAAGAAGGTTAACAATACCCTATACAAGGGAAGAAGGTTAACAATACCCTATAGCTTGGCATGAATTTTTTTCCTTTGAATTTTTTTCCTTGGATTTTTACTTTGTTCATTTTATGGCATGGTCAGAAGCTGGCCCTATGGTGGTTATCTTCGGTGCTGATTTGTAAAGTTAAGTGTTGACCTCCTTAGATTGTGTTATTGGCATGACATGAACATGTAGAAATTTGTTTTTATTTCAGTTGCTAGAGATGTTGATGAATAATTGCGGAGAACATATCCACAGACTAGTGATTGATAATGGTCTTCTTCCGATACTGGTGAAGATAGTTAAGAAGAAGGTGGAGCCATTTTCGGAATCTGTTGTGATTCACTTAGTTTGCGTGCTTCTCTAATTCTAATTCATTGCGTTTGACTAGGAAATATTTTTCACTATTTATTGACAGACAAACTTGCCTGTTCGGGAAAGGATATTTCTTCTTCTGGATGCTACCCAGACGTCTCTTGGTGGGGCTGAAGGAAGATACCCACAATATTATACTGCCTACTATGACCTTGTAGTAAGTTGTTAATCTAGGCTACAAACTTTATTTGAAAAATTATGTTTTGGTTTTTTAAGGTGTTGCATTTAATTTCATCTGGAACCAGCCTTGTGTTTATTAAGTTAATATCAGTTATTTAGATTTTACTTTAGTTTGATTGATATATAATATTTTATGGCTTTTATCTACTTGCTTACATTCATGCCAACAAAAAGATTGTTGTGGAGAGGGGTTGTCATGGCCTAACTTTATTGTGCGTTTGTTCCTGATGATATAGATCTATGTTGCTCTATTCTAACAAATGTGGATTTGAATCAATGGTGCTGAGGGTGTAACTTGTATTATAAATTATAGTGGGTAGGCGACAATGTCCATCTGATCACCATTTAAGATTGACATGTGTAACACATGATTAATTTAATATTTTTGAATTTATAATTTCTATTTATGAAATAGTAGAATATGCTATTTATGCAATTTTTGAAATTTATGTTCATAAACATTCTCATACATACAATAAGGGCATATTATTTTCTTCCTTCAGTTTTAATTCATTTTAAGTATTTGTTGAGCCATGGGTATATATAAGTGGTTTTAGGCTTGCAACAATAGATTTGATAAATTGATGATGAAATTACAATTGTTTTCTCAAACCCTTTATCATATTATTCTCCTTCTCAATCGTGTTCTCCTCTTTCTCCCTTAAGGTTCCTCTTTTCAATGCCCATTTCTGCCCTTTTTGAATTTTCATTATTTATTTGTGTATAATGTCAAATGAGAGCAAAACTCAAATCTTGCCCTTGGTTCGCCAAATGCTTCTTCACAACCTAGTCGTGTTAATTGTTCTTTTTCATCTGAGAGTGTCCTTGCATTCTTGAATCATGACCTATTACATGTACTCTCAAGCCATCCTCATTTTTCTTTCCTAATTCCTAGTCTGCTAAACATTCCATATTACACACAGGAGGTAGCAGAGGTTTATAAAGGTTAGAGGATGATGTGGTTGAGAACCTCTTTCATTCAGTTATTTTAGGGATTAATGGATTATGATTTCCTAGTTAAAAGTCTAAAAAGCCTTATCATATTTGTGGCGAACATTTATTTGTTGAACTAGAACTGAAATCTTGTTTTTAAATTCATTTATATAGATGCACATAAAAAATACTAATCATTTATTTGATGGAATGAACAGTACGAGTAGTGTTGCTTGTCTAGTAAGTGCTAGGAGTATGCTCAGTTGTGTGGTAATTGCAGGGATTTTTCTCACCTTCCCATAAATGTCATCAGATCCTTCATTTTTTATGTTAAGTTGATCTCATTTACCTGGCAATTGACCTTACCATGTATTCTGAGGATGCCTTGTATATTTTAGGAGTGATTTTCATGATGGACTTCACATCTTCAGGTTATGTGTTGATCCATAATTTTTTTTTTTATGCTAGGATGAATTTGCCAACATATTTTGACAATGAATTCTAACTTAATCACTTTCATGTGTGTTTTTCTGGTTTTTAGTGATTTAACATTTTAACATTAGTTGGCAATTCAATATCTGGAATTTATGAGCGAATTCATACTCTTTCCAGGCTTCACGGGTACAATTTCCTCAACGTAGTCATATTCAATCCACCCAACAATTTCAAGCAAAAGAAATAAATGAGCATTTAAAGGATTTGACTGCAGAAGTATCTATGTCCAATAGATGTCAAGATGCTGCAAAAGAACCAAGTTCTCAAGCTGAGCATAGGTGCTGTACTCTAAGTATGATAATTTGTCAAGTTTTCCAGATTCTGAACATTTGGGTGCTGGTCTGGAATCATTTCAAAATTCAAAATTTAATTACTCCGTTTTCCTCTTGGTTGGCATTTCAGTTTACTATTTTATGATTTTCCTTGCATGTCTTCAGTTGGAGGGGCAAGCCTTTTAATTTTGTCATCATCGTCACAATTATTAAAGTTAACCTTTATGATTTTTTATTATCAAAACATCCCTGTTAATTGCAGCTCATTGGCTTGGTTGTTTTGCTTTGCTTTCCAAAAACCTTAGAATGTTACTTTGGATTTGTGCGAGGACCTACAACATAAAACCTTTTTTTGAGGATATTCATCCTCCATTATTTCATGAATACACCTGCAGAGTTACACGTCCTTTTCTTTGACTGTTGTATATTTATTATGCTTAGCATTGCAGCTTCACATCTTCACCAAACCAAGAGTCTAGTTTAGAATAACCATCCAAAAGAGTTTATCCATTTTTTGCACAATGCATCTGAGTTCTTTGATAAATGTTGCTGTTTATGGTTAGGCACTCTGCTAGCCTTCATCTAATAGTTCTTTTTCTTTTTGGCTGTTCATACTTTGTGGGTAAATCTTATTGTATTTGAACATCGTGTATGTGATTTTTTTCTTAAATATATTAAAGAATATAGGTTGATCGTCATGTATGTGATGATATTTATTTCTTATGCCATTTCTGTTTTTCAGCATCATTCATAAGGCCACCAGTGTCATGGAAGTTTTGATGGAAACTTTGAATGCCTTGACTCCTAGACGCCCTGAGGTACATGTATTAATGAATTTAACATCTTATAAAATGCATTGTTGTTATTGTATGGAATGCATAAAAAAGATATAAAAGCATTTGATAAAATATTTAACTGTGTAAATGTATGACATTGGGTTTTCTTAGTCGAACAAACAAACCTCCATATGTTATTCTACTGTTTGACTAGTCACTTAACATACTTAGTGCTTATGCATTATTGATAGCATCCAAGCCTAGATAAGTTTTTGATGTTTTTCTGATAACAATTTGGTTTAGATATAAACTGCAGAGCTCAAAAATATTTTCTTTTATAAATGGAGAACGTGTTAAATGTGGACTTATTTTTATCGATGCATTTTTTTGATAAGCTGTGAATGCCAATTTATCGGTCAAACTACAGAAGATATCATTTGATACTATTTTGAATATAGCTAACAATTACCTGCAACAAAACAATAGTATAATATGCAGTATTTTAATAAATATTGATTTTATGAATGGGGCTAGAGCAACCTTTAATTCTGGGAATTAAAGGTAACGAGTTATTGTTCCAGAAACAATGTTGCTTTAATCTTTGTTTACAGTCGCTTTGCTTGACCTTGCATTATGATGCCTATGCATTGATACATCTCTTTTAACTGATTATGTAAAAAGAGATAAAAAAGGGGCTAGCAAATTAAACAACTTTCAGAATGTTAGTCTGTTGACCTGCTACACGATCAAAAAAAAAGAAAAAAAAAAAAGAAAAAAAAATGCTTACCTCAGCCGCACGTCGCAGACACGTCCGCGACATTTCTCCCACGACGCACGACCTCGCGTTGTTAAAGAGCCAAGGAGAAGAGGCCTCGGCCTCTTCCTCTCTGACTCTCGCAATCGCTCTCTCTCCCGACGCTCTCACTCTCGCTCTCTCCTCTTCATCGCTTCTTCGGCTCCTTGTGTTGTTCGACTTCGCTGCTTCGACGACGTTTCCTGTCTGCAGGATCAGAAGTTACGACATTGAGATCGCAAGTAACAACGTGAGCTCGAAGGCTGTGAGGGTAACTTTCTCCCTTTCGACGGCTTCTTCGGCACTTCGGTGGCTGTCCGACCCCGCTCGATCGACGACTTCTCCGGCTCCGTCGTGCCCGATCGACTTCGCTCCCTCTTCCGACATTCCCTAGGATCGGAAGTTCCGACACTTTGATCGGAAGCTTGAACAGGAGCTCGCTGGCGTGAAGATAACTTTATTAAAATTAATTAACACTAATTAGTTATAATTAACTACAGATTAATTATAACTAATAGTTTTAATCAATTTTAATAAATTTAATTAATTATCTTAATTATAAATAAATAATTAAAAATAATTTACTAATTAATTAGCATTAATTATAATTAATTAAAAAAAAGAGAAGAAGCATGCCTGCCCTTCCCGCCTCGGTTTCCGTACCCTCTTGCCTCGATCCACGAGCAGCCGTTGATCCGCCGGTCGCCAAAGGTATAATTTATGGAACTTAGTCTCTCTCTCTCTTACCTCGACCTGCATGTCGAGTCGGTGGTCTTCCCATGCACGCTTTTCTCTAGCGTGGTGGGAGGGGCAACCGGCGCAACACCTACGACGAGGTAGGCGAGTGACACTCGGTTCCAAATCCTATTCTCAACGTTAGTGTCAAATTGGGAAACCAACTCATGCACGCTTTTCTCTAGCGTGGTGGGAAGGGAATCCCGTGTGGTGCCTATGACGAGATCGGGATACCCATAAGTACCCGCTTGCGGGGAAACGACTGCTTCTCTTTTGCAATAGGTACCGAAGACCCATGCACGCCTTTCTCTGGCGTGGTGGAGCAACAAAGATTTTACGGCCGCGGTGTCCTCGAAAGGGGGCACCTATCGTGCACGCTTTTTTTTAGCGTGGCGGGAGGCCCAGTTTTCTCGAAGTTTTCCCCTAAACAGGGGAGACGTCGGGAGGTTGCCGAAATTTTGGGTGAAATATTACTCTACTCGGGACCTGCTTTGAACTCAAAAGAACAAGCATTGGGACTCAAATGAACATGAACTTAGGACTTGTGGACTATGGACTTGAACTTGAACAGAACCCAAATGACTAATAAAAGACCGAATCCAAGTTAAATAAAATTAGATTCGAACCAAAATTCAAGCCAAATCGAGTATTCAATTGAAATCAAAAGATCTCCAGAAGACTTCGAACAAAAAGTGAACATGAAATTATACTTGCAATAACTTCAGAAGACCCGGAACAAGCACTTGAACCTATACTTAAAGTTGAGGACTTGGACTGCATGGGACACTTGAACTTGTACTTTGAGCTCGAACTATATAACATTAAGTGGGGGTTATGAACTCCTACTCAAACTCAGATTGAACCTAAATTCAAATCAATTTGAACTCAAGCAAGAACTTGAGTTGGACTTCAAGAAGACCTGTACATTCTCGTTTGAATCGCTCTTTGTGGCTTTTCATTTACTGAGGTGTTCTTGCTAGTTGTTTTGTGGCATTGGGTTGTATTGATTGAATGTTTAAGATCGTTAAAGGCAAAGCTTGAAGTAGTTTTCACGGTCTTCTTAAAATGTAACCAACAAAGGAGGACCGGCCTCTTGATGTGATGCTAACCAAAGATAACAAGTCTATTTGCTTCATAAGATGCAACGACGATCTTCCGTTTGAAATGGGATTCAAATAGGAGAGGTTCATCAGGAGCCTGAATCATGCTTCAATACAAACAAACAATGGGGGACTCGTGGCGAACAAGACCTTGATGCATGAATTCCTACAACAATCTCTACAAATGCCTGTTGATTGAGATGACGATATGGGAGACTAATGATGGAGGATCCGCCTTCCTACAAACAAATGCAACCCAACAACAACCACCCGAGATTGGTGAAAGGGTGGATATGATGCAGAGATAATGGGTCTTCTACAAATACATTCAGAAGGTCGTAGGTGATACAGCGGTCCCGAGCAAATGGATACTCGTGGATAACAATAGTGGGTATATCGTAAGCACAACGAACCACTGTGGACACAAGTATGGATATCACCTACGACAGTGATGGTCAAAATCTACAAGTACACCAGGTACAAAGGCAGCCCAATGTACAAAAAAGGACACCCCTTGCAAAAGGGAGGAAATGTTTGAACAAATTAGAACCAAACTTTCGGGTGTTCCAAAGTCTCTTCTTAGTTCCATACATGAGAAGAAAACTGTTATGGTGTCTACAAATACCGAAAATAACGGTCCGCTACACCAAAGAACCTAAAAAGGGTTCTTACCAAATCAACAATCATTGACTCCAAAGTCCAGAAAGTCTCGTCCCCGGTGAATAAGAAAGGGGGAGTCAACATCAAGACACACGCCACTGGATCTGCAACATTTATACAAGCAGACAGAAGGCGTCTACAATCTACAATGCAATGCCACCGGATCTGCAACACTCATACAATCAGACAGAAGGCGTCTACAATCTATAACGCAACGCCATCGGATCCGTAACACTCGTATTAGCGGACAGAAGGCGTGTATAAGCTTTCAAATGAAAAGTTGTGTGCATCCAAATGATAGTTATCTACACAACTACAAATATTTTAAAGTACCCATGCACATGCACTATAATTTGTATACACATAGGTACACAATGGGGTACGTCTAAATCAATATAAAAATCATTCGCATGGGCCCCGGCGAGCGTGTTATTGGTACACACGTGACGCCTAGGGATGCTGCGCGGGTCGATAAGTAAATTTTAGTTCGAACCCGTCCCTTCTATACGGATCAATAGAAGTCGACAGGGTTCGAACCTTTAAACGAATACACGACTGTGGCGACCAGTGTATTTGTTTCAATACATTCGTATTAGGTATTCCAGGCCTACAATCAAAAGAATTCACTAAACAAAAGGCATGAAGCCTACGAAACCCGATCCTCCTAAATAGAGAAATAGGAGTAGACAGGGTTCGAGATATTGAATAAATATGCGGTTACGAAGTTGACCGGAATATTTATTTTGTGCATTCATATTCGGCCTTCAAGGCCTACAACAATATGAATTCACTAATAAGGGCATAAAGCCTGCGAAACCCGATCCTCTGTCGACAGCCAGACAGAGTCGACAAGATCCAATCAAATAAAGGGAAATGACCCCAAACACCCCGATGATGGCCGTGTTGAATGTCTATCTCAACCGGAGGGATTAATTTCAGGCATTTTTAAATGCCTCCCAAAAGTCCAAAATCCAAAATTTCCAAATTCCATCCTAAATGTCCAGATATTTAAATCTGAAATTCAACTATCAAACACTTAAAGCAAAATCCATCCACCCTCCGCAACAGTTTGTCGAGGCGGACAAATTCAAATATAACTTCAGCTCACAAAGAGCCAAATGCCTAGTCGAAAATATCACTATGATCCATTCTCAATCAATCTCCTGCTAATAAGGACGTGGTACGTGTCCCTAACCGGTGGTTTGCCGCCAAATGGCACCGCAGGATAAACGGTTATGATCCGGGGCCCTCTGAACCGAGTGGTTTTGCTCCAAATGGTATCACGAAATACCAGTTATGGCCAGCGCTGTTACGCTCCTTATTGGCATCAAATCCTTGAGATATGAATCAATAGGATATGATCGATAGGGCACAAAGCCCTCTGTTAGCTAAGGTAGATTCAAATTTGTCCCCTTAGACAAACATTCAACCCCGGTCTACAAGGTCCCCTTGGACGAAGCAACCCATGGCTGCCGACAAGGATCCTTCTGTCAGGTTGGGTCGACTACCTCCTCTGACTAAGTAGACCAGGGACCATGATGGCTCGGGACGACGGAACCATGGGATCTTGATCGGGTCTATCATCCATTCCCCCGCCATCCGCTTTAAGTTCCAGAGGGTGAAAATTCCAGTTTTAAATATCAAATTTATCAAATCTCCTAACCCAAATTCCAAACATCTGAAATCTCCCAAATTCCAAATCCATTTCCAATTTTCAAATCCCAAATTCATGCTGCTACTATATGCCAGATACC